TGGGGCTGGAGAGATGGCTCAGAGGTTAAGAGCACTGGCTGCTCTTCCAGAGGTCCTGAGTTCAATTCCCAGCAACCACATGGTGGCTCACAACCATCTGTACTAAGATCTGGCGCCCTGCTCTGGCGTGCGGGCATACATCGAGGCAGAATGTTGTATACATAATAAATAATAAATAAATCTTAAAAAAAAAGAAAATAACCTCTTCTGCAAAAAAATACTGGTATTAAAAACTAAGTTCTAACAAAACAAAGCAAACAGAACATCCTTGAGGGGCTACAGAGATGGACCAGTGGTTACGAGCACTTGCTGTGGCAGATGATCTTTAGTTCAAGGCTAGGCCTGGTCTAGATAACAAGTTCCAGGATAGCCAGGACTGCATAGAGAGAGTCTGCCTTAAAAAAAAAAAAAATCAACAGAACAAACAATATCAAGAGGACCTGAGTTTGGATCCTGTTACTCACACAAGCAGAGCACCCCATAAATGCCTATAACTGCCTCTGAGGAGCTCCACATGTACGCAAGCATGTGCACCCCCATACATACATGCACATACACAAATCTTAAAAAATAATAAAAGAAACGCTTAATTTTTTTTTTTAAAAAAGATTGATTTTAGGAGTGTTGGGTCAGCTTTCTTTTGTTCTTTCGTTCTCTCTCTCTCTCCTTTCTGTTCTTTTATTCCAACACAGTATCCCTACTGGCCATATGGGAACTTTCAGTCCCCCTGGGTCTACTCCCCACGCCCCCACCTGTACCCTCCTAAAGGAAAAGAAACACAAGTTCAATCTCTGTTGCCTACACATTTACCAGAGCACGATCAAACTCCCAGTGACCAGCCTCACAAAGAAACAAGAATTCTTCCTCACCTGCTCCTCTGCCTGAAGCCATCACCTATGGAGAGCTACACCTCAGCACCCCATCACAATTTTTAAGTTTCTGATGACTTCCTGTCTGAGCTATTTTCCTCCACACAATCACAAAAGTAGCTTCCCTGCCCTTCAGTCAGCAGGAGCACAGATCATGGACCTACATATGATCTCTAGCAACAGCACAGATCACAGATAGTGTCTGTGGCCTATGCTGTAGCAGAGGGCTGTGTTGATTTCAGTGATCTGTTCTGTCATCAGAGACCATGCTGAGATCTTTCTACACTTAAAAATTTTGTATCTATTTTTATTTGTGTGTGTTGTGTATCAATGTAAGTGGATGCCAAGTGTGTGTAGTTATCAGCAGAGACCAGAAGAGTGTTGTATCCCTTGGATCTGGCAGGTATTTGTGAGCTACCTGATGGGGGTACTGGGCACTTGTGGTGGTAGTCACCAGGGAGTAGAACTGTTGGAAAGAGTGTGCAGTGCTGTGAGACATCGTTCTGTATCCTGTGAATATGTTTTGTTCTCATTGGTTGATAAATAAAGCTTCTGTGGCCTATGGCAAGGCAGGATAGAGCCAAAAGGGAAATCCAAACAGAGATACAGGAGAAGAGTGGAGTTTGAGAGACTAGCCAGCCAAGGAGGCAAGACATATAAAAAATAAGGTAACAAACCACATGGCAAAGCATAGATAAGAAATATGGGTTAGGGGGCTGGAGAGATGGCTCAGTGGTTAAGAGCATTGCCTGCTCTTCCAAAGGTCCTGAGTTCAATTCCCAGCAACCACATGGTGGCTCACAACCATCTGTAATGGAGTTTGGTGCCCTCTTCTGGCCTGCAGACATACACACAGACAGAATATTGTATCCATAATGAATAAATAAATAAATATTTTTTAAAAAAGAAATATGGGTTAATTTAAATGAAAGAGCTAACTAATAATAAGCCTGAGCCATCAGTCAAACATATATAATTAGTTTAAGCCTCTAAGTGATTATTTTAAAAGCAGCTAAGAGGCTGGGCAGGACAGGGCAGAACAAACAAAAGCCTCTGATTACATTTGGTGTCCAACATAGAGTACGTACATGTACATAAAGCCTGAAAAAAGTTTAAAAAAAAAGGTTCTAGACACACAAAAACAGCTTCTTGGTAGCCATACTTTTTCAAATAGGCTGTTTACTGGTAGCGAGCAGGAAACTCCTTTAAGAGACGGCTTCCTGCCTTGGTACTGGCAGTATGGACAGCTCTTTTGGGAGTCCTGCTATGGAGCACTTGATTGGGATTTGTGGGCTGGTGGGCTGCATACTTCGTGATAACATGGACTCCAGAGTTGGGGAGATAAGTGTGACTCTCATTGGTACCTCTGTCATTTTGGGAACCCAGAGAGGGCAGAGCAGCATCCAAAGCTGCCGGTTTGGTCCTAGCTGCTCGCACGTAAAGACTCCTGGTCAAAAGAGGATTACAGATATGCAATAAAAACATATTTAGATAAAAAGAAACCTCTAAACGGGTCACAATGTGTTCAAAACAATTAAAAAAAAATAAAATGGTATGCAGTTATAGAAAGGAATAGTTTAAAAAATAATATAATAAAGTCTTTAAAGATAGAAGCAAAATAAAGAAAAAAAGCCACGTAAAAATAGGAAATTCACCTGGAGTCTGGATCCTGTTTGTTATTATGTTGGCTTTGAGTTTTTTGATGGCTGATGGGCAAGAGACAGCTACTAGGAGACATGGGATTGAAAGAGAGACTGATAAAATATACCAACCAAAGTATTTTTAAAATGTCTTAACTTTAAACCAAAAGTCAAAAAAATATATTTGTAAAATGGAACTTAAAAGATGCATTGCTTTGGAAAAGCAGCTTTACTTTTGTTCCACAGGAAACAAGATGCTATGAATTTGTTTCATGTTAAGATAGGCCAGGTTTGATAAAGGGAAACCTCCTGAACCTTGACATGTGATATCTATCAACAAAGCTGATAACTGGTCTTCCCAGGACTTGGCTAGTACCTCAGATTTTCTCAGGGTCCCCATAAGATCACCAGCACCAATCAGCAGGAAATAGTCTAGAGAACTATGCCCAAACTCCCAAAATATTGGTTATAAAGGTTGTTTTCATTTAAGGGGGGTTGGTTATAAACTGTTATTGATCATAGTCCATCTCTTCCTAAAAGAAGAAAGAGGGATATGAATGGAAATGTATGACATATAAAGAATGGGAGAAAAGGAGAGATTATTGAATCCACTTTTATTCAAAAATCAACTGTTAATCTCAAAATATTTTACATTGGTATAGATTTTAGTTTATTGACATAAATTTAAAGTCAACTTTGTTTGCTGTATGTATATTTCTACTCTTGTTTAAGGTATTATGCTTATGCAACTCATTTTAAAATGTAATAATTAAAAATACAGATTGATAGTAATCTATAATACTTAGGCTTTTTAGGTATACAAAGATATATTTTAATTAGATAGGTATTTTTCAAACACTTAAAAACCTATAGAATATGGCATTTAAAATGTTTTAAGATCTTAGACTTTTAGCCAAGTGGTGGTGGTGTATGCCTTTAATCCCAGCACTCAGGGAGGGAGAGGCAGGTGGATCTCTGTGAGTTCAAGGCCAGCTTGGTCTACAAAGCGAGTTCCAGGACAGCCAGCGATACACAGAGAGACCCTGTCTTGAAAAACGAATTAAAAAAAAAAAAAGAATTTAGACTTTTCTCAACAGTAAGACATGTCTGTTC